CCTGAGAACAACTATCAGCAGCACCGCCCCCCAGCCTCAGGCGGCATATAGGGTAGGCAGCCCTGATCGCTGCTGTAATCAGGGGAAACTGCTCTCCTGAAGAATCTTAACACTCTAGCACTTAGTGCAATGCTGTACTAAGCGGTTACTCCTATTAGTACCTATTTCAATCCAGGACAAAGAACAAAGACATGGTCCTCTGTTGTCACCATTAGGAAACCCTGAGACCTGCAATCGTTGCTGGAGTGCATGCATGCATGAAGACAGAAAGAGGCTAGCGCACTGAGATGCAACAAAGGATGAAACAATAAAGGAAAAAAAACATATTTTATAAAAATAAAACAAGGAAATTGTTTATGAAACTAAATGTCATCCGAACAGTGCAGCCAAACAGTGCTGTAGATGTTGCCGCAGCACAGCTAAAATTAGACAGCATGTTACTGTCGGCAGGCGTTGCCGCCCACAAAACGCGACCATTGATGTGAATGTGACCATGCCACAAATGCGGCAAAGTCTACCGTTTGTGTGAATGGGAAAATGGAATTACCCCCTCCAATCTGCCCCCCCCCCCATACTTACCTTTTGGCAAACGCTCCTTGGACGTTGGGGGTGTACTATTCATACCCAGTACTGCCATAAAGCGCAAAGCTGAGCTATGTATTTTGAATTTCGCTCTCAAATGACCAATTTGTAAGAAGTGCTTCTAATTGGTCAGCACAATCAGAAGTGCTTCTCACTGGTCAGTGCAGTCTGCATAGGGCTGTGCTATACAGTAGTAAGGTGTATGGATAGTAAACCTGCATCGGTAGGGGGAAAGGAGCATACGCCAAAAGGTGAGTATAGCAGGGGGCTGAGGGGGTAATTCCATTTTCCCAAATTCACATGGGAAAGTGGAATTACCATTTCAGCAAATGCTGACATCATAGAAGCAGAATAACCTCTCTTACTTTTCCTAGCTCTCTCCTTCACCCTCCCCTCTTTTTCTCCCTGCCCCCCATCCCATTTTTTTTTCTCCTTCTTCCCCACTTAGCGCCATTCCTTTCCCTCGTCAATGTATCACCTTCTTACTTCTGTGACTTTTCTGTATATATTCATACTACCTACCGATAATCATCTTTCCCTTTCCCATTACTCACCCCAGATGTGTGTTGAGTTCTCAGCCCACTAAACATATGCTTTATCCTGTGTCATGGGTTCCGTCTCCCCCATTTCCCAAAAAGTTGTTTTTGTGAATTTGAGATTGGCTTTTGATGTACTTTTACTTTTTTCTCACTCATGTGTCCCGACCATTTTTCTACATTTTGTTGATTTAAAAACCCAATAAAATGTATGTGAACGAATTGAGACGCCAATTCCCCTGCAATGCCATCACCGGCCTCTTGACGGTGCCATCAGTGAACAATCTGTATTTCTTGATTCTGAGCAGTAGGGGGCGCTGTGAGCTCGTGGACGGGCTTAGAGTCACGCATAACACTACTAAGCTCGATGGTACTCCCAGCAGGAACTTCCTGTTTCCTGTGTGAGCAGCTGCTGAGAGCGCGACGGGTCCGGTGGGGAGGAGAAGGTGAGGAGGCGAGGGACAGGGGGGGCAGAGGGAGCTGGGTACCGGGGCGGTGGTGACGGGGCGGGTAAAAGGGCACACCTTCGTTCTACGGCCCTAGAACGGACAGTGCATCCTTATATGTTTCCGCTTGTGTTATCTTCTCATTGTAGTGACAACCCCGAGTGGAGGAGCAGTGCTGGGCTGCGGGCACATCTGCCGCTCCCAGCCATGCATCCATATGGCATTGTGTGTGTGAGCTGAGTGCTGCCCCCATTTCACTGTGTGCCATATTGTGGTATCCGGGCAGCAGCTCTCTAACACGTACTATTTACAGCAGGGCAGCTGAACTCCTGGGGGCTGATGGTGAGTGTTCTATCCCGATCAGGGTAACACTTGCAGCTTTTTGCTCATATGTTGCTGCCATGTAAAAAGTAATCATCATCTTCAGAGATTTGTCTTTGAATTCATAGGGTGCAGGAAATAAAAGCACAGACTCCTGGGAATCCATTAGACCATATGACAAACACAAAGGCTTGTTGGTAAACATCTCTTGGAATGGGTTATATTATATGATAAGACTGGGCTGCACTATTACCCTGGACACCAGTGATCTGCAGAAAGATTCTCTCAGGCTTAGTGAGTGTGTTAATTGTGTGCAATTACAAGGCATTCATACACTTCCCTAGACTCCCAAATTATTGCTATATTTCCTTTATGTCACACCGGTTTCTACTGTAGGCTTTTACAAACAGCAACGATCCCTTTACGTCTTTTCCTGCCCTCAAAGGATTTTGCCGCTTGTCCCGATCACCATGATAGAATTTTTTTTTATTAAGGTGGAACCCCAGCCAAACATTTTATTTTTAAACTTTGTTGGGACTGGCTTTAGTGCTGTGACCTCCCTGGGGTCAGAAACCCTATTACTATTGTCACCATAAGAGAAAGTGAAGTGGAATTTCACAATTTAACTATGGTCTCCAGGACTGAATTTACAATGGACATAACTGTTCTGGTGACAGCTGTCAAAAAAAACATTTTCCTGTGGTTCGATTTAAAGAATAACTGCAAGTAGACCCCCCTGCACTGCAAGGATTAAATGCTTGTTTTGGTTTAGGGTATAAAATAACAAAAGACATACTCGCACGATCCTCAATCCTGCCAGGCTGCTATACCCTATCCCTGGAGCTAATCTCCCCCTCCGGCGGTCCAAGGACCTGTGAGTTATCACATCTAATACAGTGTATTAGCTGTGAGGACACCGAGGGACATTCCACTGCCAGGGAGCGGAGGGAGAGAGAGTCTAGCAGCCAGCCCTGTCAAAGTATCTCATTATTTTACACTCTAGACGAATATGATCACGTTTTATTCTGGCCGGGGTCCTTCTTTAAGCTGGCTATATACTGGTAGATTTTAGCATGAATATTCATATGGAAAATGTCATTAGAACATTCAATAATGTTGACATGGCGAATGTCGTTCGAATTTCGTTTGGTATTAACATGCGTTTTTGGATTGAATGGAGTTTCCCGAATGAAAACTAGATATAATGTTAGTTTCATTTGTCTGAGAAAAAAAATTTCCATTCTGCTCCCTCATGTTTTCCCCCCTCACCATGGTCAAATTCAATTGTCCATTTGACCCCTTTAACTATTAGAAAATCGAGCGGCTGTTTGGAAAACGTTTCATGGTGACACCCCAATAACAAGCTGACACTGAATGTATGGAGTTTCCATTTAAACACAGTTACTTTACCAATATGTTTTGGGTTGTAGAAGGGAACAGGAGCACCTACTGTGTAGTACACAAGATTCACAAAGAATAACATGAGGATAAGAGTCCCTTTTCTTTCTTTCTAGCAACATGACTATTTTTCAAATCGGTTATCCTTACTGTTGTGTTAACGTTGTGACGTTAAACTCAGGAGTTAAACCTTAAAAATGCATTCCAGTACCTTAACTATTAACAAAAATGTACCTTATTTGTGTATCACTCAGCTGCAGATCCTCAAATCATCTCTGAATTGGTGCTGACACTGTCCTTCCTTCTGGAGGGTGATTACTTTTGTTCCCTATGGTCCCTGTGTGTGTGTGTGTTGTAAGGTAGTCACCGCTCCAAGCTCCAAAAATTAGGGAAATACCTAATTACTTACCTGTACCAGCGCTGCCTGCTCCTGGCTCCCCGACGGCTGTGAAGAAGTGGTTTTCAGGCGCAAGCGCAGTAGAGGGGAGGTGAGGAAACAGACACCGAAGCTCAGTGGACGCAGCCAGGAGTGTGCACGTCGAACAGACACCGTGGGACACAAGGAGTCTGCGGTGGATCAGAGACCGGCACCAGCGCTGGAGGTACTGTCAGAAACAAGTGGAAGGAAGAAGATTATCGCAGCAAGAGGCATCAAATAAGGTAAGTGCTTACGGCAGAATATGGGGAGGAAATGTTACCTTTAATGTCACTTTAAGGTACTTGAATGCATTTTTGAAACCACTTTAGAAACAACAGTTACAGGAGTTGTTTACATGTTACAGTTTATCTCCCCATACTTAATATAAAGTAGCTAGGGGTCAGGAGCAATTTCTGATTGGTCGGCATAGGCCACTGTCCATTGCTTTATTTTTTTTAAAGTGGAGCTCTAGGCAAACGACTAAATACATAGCCTGCAAACATGTTTTCTGTCACTTTCCAAAGTATTTGTAATTTTTTTTTTGTGATTGCTTTTGTTGCTTCTAAGCCAGGCTCATTCACTAGATAAAGGTGATAATGCTGAATAACTGACCAGGGAGAAAGTTGGCGGTGGAGATGTTACTTAGGAAGCGGGATTGCTTAATAAGTTATTTGTATTGCCCATCTGCCTTTGCAGAGTGGAAAATGTATGTAAATCGCATGACTTGCTCTGCAGATTTTATCATTTGTCAGATAAAGCAGTAAAGCTATATGCATTGCAGTTGTATATTTGTTGGCCTAGAGTTTTGCTTTAAGCTTAGGTTGTTGTCCAAACAGAACACGGTTTTGCAGGTTCCGTAATAAAATAAAGAAAATGAGTAAGACTCGTATAAATATAATAAAATGTAAACTTAGGACCTAAATCTGTTTTTGATATGGGCCTCCTATAATTCTCTGCCCAGCTGCACATTTAGACTTGGATAGGATGGGTCAATACTCCGAGGCAGTTAGGGCTCTAGTACTTAGCGCAGTGATGTCAGTCTAACACTGAATGTGCCTATGCGAGAGCACAGGGATGATTTTGCAGTATGATGCAGCTCCTTCTTTTTACGGTTAGAAGACTGTCTGAGCTGACGTAACTAAGGTGGAAAAATGTCATCACCCATCCCCCCCTCCCCCCCCCGACAGCCCAGAACCGCGTCAGCATTACAGCCATAACAGCAGGGTAGAGCATAAGTATGGAACAAATAATTCCTAACCTGAAAATTCTATCTGGAGTTCTGCTTTAATCCATCTTGAGTATGAGATGAATATCCTTGTTAATAGCTGTTCCATTTAAAAGGAAACACTTAGTGGTAAGTATGGAGATTACCATTTCTGAGTTATCCTGATAATACTAGTTAATGCAGAACTTTAGGAATTTTTCTTATTGCAAGGTTTAAGTGCTCGTTTGTGTCTAGCTTAAAAAAACCAAACAAACATATACTCCACCAAAAGATCTGAGCTGGCCAGCTGTCACAGTGCTCCCTTCTGCCTGTCCTCTCCTCCGCAGTAGATTGGAATGTTCCTCAGTGACCTCACATCTACATAGATGATTTTCTGGACCTTAGACCACTGAGAGGGGAGGGGGAGTTGAGAGACATTCCAGGGACCAGTCTAAGGAGCCAGCTAGGAGCTTTGGGTGAATATATCTTTGTTTTTTTTTTAACCTGGACACAAATGAGCAGTTAACCCTTGCAGTGCGGTGGTAGCCCTACTGCAAGGGTTAATTTTAAAAATCCTGGCGTTCTTCTTTAACCTCTTGCCGTCCGCCCGTAGTAAAAAAACGGACGGACGGCACTGCAGCATCTGCGGGTTGCCGTCTCCAGACGGCAATTTTTTTCGCTCGCGCGCGCCCCCTAGCGGGCACGCACGGGCAGAAAAGACCCGCTCAATGCACACACCCGTTACCGGAAGTACAGCGCTGCATGACGGAATAAATGTCAGTTAAAGTACCGCAGCGCTGAATACTGAAAAATGGCCTGGATGGGAAGGGGGTTTAACACCGCGGATGTCAACTGGTTAAAGGAAACCTTTGCTGATAGATAAATGGGTGTTGCCATTGGTTACCTCTTTTTGAGGATTCCAGTTCTCTGGCTATTAAATTGACCCACTGGATTCCGGAGTGTATAAGTCTTTTATCTGGAACAAGTATTCATATGAGAAAAGTTAGACATTCATATTTGTATTTTGTTGCTGGTAAAGGGACCTGAAAGTAGTGAAGCAAGATGGTCAGCATGACAGCTAGGCAACTGGCACTGCAGAATGAGAAATAGTTCTAGCATCCTCTGTGTTTAAGGTTTACTTCAAGTGGGTGTTGTGCTGGTCCTGTGACCTCAGTAATTTGCATCACTGACTCGGAACAAGTATGTCCTTTCCTAATCCACATTATTGTATCGGGTCAGTGACTCCATGTATTGCAGCCACACAACTAGCATTTTCAAAAGAAGTCACTGTCGTCATATTTCTCTCAATACATGCTTCCTTTTATAATCAAGATTGTAAATGAGTAATTGCTTATAGTTTAGATCTTAGGCAGTCATTGGTCTTTGCATTAGGCTGGAGATTTTTGGAGAAGTCTATTTAGAAATGTTGTGCAGTTTCCAGTGTAAACATAGAACTGATAAACATATCAAGAAAAACTTGTTTTAAGATCTTTGCTTCTTTAAAGGGATTCATCAGGAAAGAGTTAAACTCTATTCTTAAAATGGGGGATGTTTAGTGATTTACAACAGCCTTCAGCTCATTAACTTCCACCAGAGAGCCCTGGCTGGCCCTGCTGGGATAGGCGAGTTGTAATGGGAGTTGCTGCCATGGATACCTATTTAGGTATGTATTTACCGAAAATGTTGGTTTTTAGTGGAATGTCCCTTCAGTTAATTAAGGCATGACAGATGTGCCCATTGTCTGTGGGTATAAGATTACAATGAGCCAATGATTTTCAGATTTAAGTTTCTTGATCATTCTCCGTGTGTTCCTCCACAACAAAAACATTTAAATATAATATAGATATCCAGCATACTATACTGACGAGGCCTATTGTTGCACTGTACTGTAGAAAGTACTTTGCCTATCAAACCTTATGGTGCATACTTTAATACGAGTAATGATAGTTGGTGAACAGAATTGTCAATTTAACATGTTATTCTTGTAATTTGACTGACTTCACACTCATGCAGTCGGTTGTGCATATATTCTACTGCCTATAACAGTAACACGCAGCACCATTTATTTTGAATTATATCCCAATCCATTGTTACAGTAGTGGGCAACACACTGCACTGAAGTGCACCACTGTCATATGCCATGTGTTTTTATTGTATTACATTAAAAAAGGGGGGGGGGCACTATGTCATGCATTAGGCCTTGTATATATGGGCTTTTGGTGAGATTGCCAACAACTGTCTTGATGCTTTTAAAGCACCATTTAGCTCCAAAATGGGGATGTAAAACACTGATTGTAACGAGAGTGCTGCCTGTCACTTTAAACAGGCCACTAGCAGGCTTTAGGTAAGATTTACAATGTCTTGAGAATTGTTGAAAGCCTTCTGAAGCTTGCTAGCAGCATCCTGTAAGTGACATGCAGCAGTCCTAACGCTTGCTAGCATCACACACACACACACACTCACACACACCTGTACTAATCTGCAAGATATCTCACTGAGCAAAAAACTGCTGAAAACTGCATTGTTTGTGCTGTTTCTCTTGTGACCTTTACCCCCTTTGACTAAAAATCACATCAGCATACAGCTCTGCATGCTGTTATGAAATTATCTTATTCATTAGCTAAACAAACATATTTTTATTTTACTTACAACTTTTCTCTAGTTCCTGGTCCACTTTGGCACAAATAATGTTTGGCGCCCAAGGAAGTGACATGCAGCAGTCCTAACGCTTGCTAGCATCACACACACACACACACTCACACACACCTGTACTAATCTGCAAGATATCTCACTGAGCAAAAAACTGCTGAAAACTGCATTGTTTGTGCTGTTTCTCTTGTGACCTTTACCCCCTTTGACTAAAAATCACATCAGCATACAGCTCTGCATGCTGTTATGAAATTATCTTATTCATTAGCTAAACAAACATATTTTTATTTTACTTACAACTTTTCTCTAGTTCCTGGTCCACTTTGGCACAAATAATGTTTGGCGCCCAAGGAAGTGACATGCAGCAGTCCTAACGCTTGCTAGCATCACACACACACACACACTCACACACACCTGTACTAATCTGCAAGATATCTCACTGAGCAAAAAACTGCTGAAAACTGCATTGTTTGTGCTGTTTCTCTTGTGACCTTTACCCCCTTTGACTAAAAATCACATCAGCATACAGCTCTGCATGCTGTTATGAAATTATCTTATTCATTAGCTAAACAAACATATTTTTATTTTACTTACAACTTTTCTCTAGTTCCTGGTCCACTTTGGCACAAATAATGTTTGGCGCCCAAGGAAGTGACATGCAGCAGTCCTAACGCTTGCTAGCATCACACACACACACACACTCACACACACCTGTACTAATCTGCAAGATATCTCACTGAGCAAAAAACTGCTGAAAACTGCATTGTTTGTGCTGTTTCTCTTGTGACCTTTACCCCCTTTGACTAAAAATCACATCAGCATACAGCTCTGCATGCTGTTATGAAATTATCTTATTCATTAGCTAAACAAACATATTTTTATTTTACTTACAACTTTTCTCTAGTTCCTGGTCCACTTTGGCACAAATAATGTTTGGCGCCCAAGGAAGTGACATGCAGCAGTCCTAACGCTTGCTAGCATCACACACACACACACACTCACACACACCTGTACTAATCTGCAAGATATCTCACTGAGCAAAAAACTGCTGAAAACTGCATTGTTTGTGCTGTTTCTCTTGTGACCTTTACCCCCTTTGACTAAAAATCACATCAGCATACAGCTCTGCATGCTGTTATGAAATTATCTTATTCATTAGCTAAACAAACATATTTTTATTTTACTTACAACTTTTCTCTAGTTCCTGGTCCACTTTGGCACAAATAATGTTTGGCGCCCAAGGAAGTGACATGCAGCAGTCCTAACGCTTGCTAGCATCACACACACACACACACTCACACACACCTGTACTAATCTGCAAGATATCTCACTGAGCAAAAAACTGCTGAAAACTGCATTGTTTGTGCTGTTTCTCTTGTGACCTTTACCCCCTTTGACTAAAAATCACATCAGCATACAGCTCTGCATGCTGTTATGAAATTATCTTATTCATTAGCTAAACAAACATATTTTTATTTTACTTACAACTTTTCTCTAGTTCCTGGTCCACTTTGGCACAAATAATGTTTGGCGCCCAAGGAAGTGACATGCAGCAGTCCTAACGCTTGCTAGCATCACACACACACACACACACACACACACACACACACACACACACACACTCACACACACCTGTACTAATCTGCAAGATATCTCACTGAGCAAAAAACTGCTGAAAACTGCATTGTTTGTGCTGTTTCTCTTGTGACCTTTACCCCCTTTGACTAAAAATCACATCAGCATACAGCTCTGCATGCTGTTATGAAATTATCTTATTCATTAGCTAAACAAACATATTTTTATTTTACTTACAACTTTTCTCTAGTTCCTGGTCCACTTTGGCACAAATAATGTTTGGCGCCCAAGGATTGCATCTTGGGAAGGCTACATCAGCGGAGCATTGGTGGGAAATCTCATCTGTGATCTCAGGGAAAGGCAAAGTCCTAATCACATGTGCCAGAGTTCCAGGAAGTAAAGGGAGATACATTAATCTCCCCTTAGTTTAAAAAGGAACAGTGGCCATTTTTACTAAGGGAAGATTCAAACATCTCCCTTTACATCCTGGAACTCTGGCACATGTGACCATACACATCATCTCAGGGGAGGAAAATGCCTTTCCCTGAGATCTTGTGAGATGAGATTTCCCACCAATGCTCTGCTGATGTAGCCTTCCAAAGATGCAATGCTTGGGCGCCAAACATTATTTGTGCCAAACTGAACCAGGAACTAGAGAAAAAGAAATTGTAAGTAAAATAAAAATGTTTGTTTAGCTGCATGCTGATGTGATTTTGAGTCAAGGGGGTAAAGGTCCACTTTAACAAGAGAAACAGCTCAAAAAATGTAATTGTCGGCAGTTATTTTTTGCTCAACGAGATATCTTGAAGATTACTACAGATGTGTATATGTGTGTGTGTATGAATTATGGGTGAAAGTTGAGTGAATCTTGTGTAAAAACATTTGATTCCACCCTTATGGGTTGCATTAACGTACCACATTACTGTGTGTTAAGGGTTAGCGCAGCACATTCAAAATAAGGCCATGTACTAACTAACTCTTTAACACTGCCTGTCCTGTTGGCACTTTAAACCTACATTAGTGTTTAGGATGATCCTGTTACAGTCCAAATCTGTTTTTGGATGTTAAATCCAATATTATGTCATTTTATTTTTCTAGTGTGTACTGGCATATGTTTAACCATCCATGTGGTGAGTGCGACTCTATTAATTTGCTTGTTTGGTTTATCATCTTTTATCCTCCTAGATATTGACTAGGCAAGATGCAAAACCCAGTTACTACTGACTATATGTGTGACTGTTTGTGTCTCTCAACTTCCACATTGCATCTGGAAGTTGGTTAGGAATACCTAATATCCATATGTGTAGATTTTGCCATGCACATAAGCATGCATGTGCGGCCAAATCTGTACCATGTTGGTGCCCTTAGCCTGGTGTATATGTGCATGGCCAGATTTAAATGTTAGGAACTTTCCACATTGAACAATATTAAAGGCATCATTATCGCCAAGATTATATCTTCTTTGTGAAAGAAAGTAACACAGAAAATGTTGTGAATAAAGGTCCCAAAGGACAACCCAATGGACGAGATGGTTGTTATTCTCAGCATACCCATCAATTAAGGCAGGTGTTCAAAATGTCAATCCCTGCGGGTAAGGAATATCTTTGGGGATATGAATATCTGTAGTTAGGTAGCTGCCTACTGGATTTCTGAACACTTGTTAATTCAGTTTCCTGCACATTTAAAGTAGGTTATCTTTAGTACAACCTCTGTCATTGACTTCATATTTGCTCATGCTATATCTCTAGGTGGACAGTTGAACCTAGAATTTAGTTCCATCTAGGTAGCCCTTTTTATGAATTACAGTGCAGCAAGTTTCCACATGGATCCTGGGGTCTGTCACAGTTTAGATCTATTTAAACGTATCCTGTTTATAATTAACCTGTACTTGAGAATTAAATTAATGATTCTTTGTATATTTCTAGTAGGTTTCTAAGAACAGAACCATGGACAAACACAAAGTGAAGAGACAACGTTTGGACCGAATCTGTGATGGTTAGAAAATATGATTTACAATTTGTTGGGTCCTTCATATTGTTCCATTGTATAGTATCCTGTTTCTTTCCTCAAGTTTGACTAGTGAAGGCATTGGCTAGTACTTCTGTCATGTTATCACTCCCAGTGACTCCATTAGGAAGATTTTCCTATGCTTTTTTTTTTTTCTCTTCCTGTGACACAGGGAGAAGTAATGAGAACAGAAAGGCACAGCCAGCAGTAAAAACCTCAAATAGGTTCTACCCCTTCCATACTCTAATAAAAAGACAAATGCTGTTGATTACACATATCATTGGGCTTTAAAGCTGATTTCCACAGAATGACACATGTCATGCATGTAAAACAGTTCACATAAGCAGCACCTGTATCCCTGTAAGGACAGGTTCTCTTAAATGGTAAAAATGAAGTCTTAACTTTCACCTTGTTGCTGCGAACTTAATTATGCAATTAAATGGGAGAAAAAAATTATACAGATAAGGTAAACACATGTAATGCGAGGAGTAAAGGCTCTAGGCCTGTAACAGAATAAAAGTCTGTTCTGTTCTTTTTTTTCTTACATTGGTTTATTTCCTTAACTAGGAAAGCAATAAAGCAGAACTATTGCAGTGTATCAATCAGTAGAAACTTTAATGTCCTGCATTGGTAAGAACCCTGAAAAGTAGTTAGATGCAACCATAAACAAGTATAACTTGAAAACTGAAGAAAAGATCTCAAACCGCTACAGTACTTATCTTTAGACATTATTAGAATCAGAAATTCACAACACTTTGCAGCAAAGCAACAGGTTCACTTTAATTTTGGTAGCCCGCCAGCAGCTTCTTCTTGCCCTCTTTTCTCTCCTCTGTTCATTTTGGCTATCCATTGCTTTTGGTATGAGATGGTTCTAGTAGATTTAGTAGAGCTAAGGATTGGCTGCCCAAGCACCCATCTCTGTAACATGGGGTGGGTAGAGATTTATCAGCCTTGTGTATGCTCTGACTTGCATCTTGGAGATTACACAGGGGTTACTCTCTTCACTTCCAGTGATTGAACAGGTAGGTGGGGTAGCAAAAGTGTTTCTCCAGAAAGCACACAGTAGCCACATGTAGCATGTGTGGATATTTCTTTAGAAGGCAGGGCTTTAAAGAAGAACTCCAGGATTTATTAAAATGAACCCTTGCAGTTGGGCTACACACACATAGCAAGGGTTGAGTGCTCGTTTTGGTCTATGGACAAAAATAAAGAAGATATACTCGCCTAATGGTCCTGCAGCAGTGACTGCTCACCTCTCCCCCCCCCTTCGCTGCAGCTGTGGTATGTTTCTCAGCGCCCTCACGTCTAATAGACCTGCATTAAACGCGATGTCATTAGACCGCTGGAGCCCAGGGGAGACGAAACTGCGGGAACCGGTCTAGCAGCTAGACAGGACCGAGAATAAGGTGAGTATATTCTCTTTATTTTCACCCCTACACCAAAACGAGCACTTTAAAGAAAACTGAAAGTCCTCCTTCCAGTTAAGGCTCTAACTGCTTCTGCCTTAGCTAAGGCTTTTACTTCCCTGCTAGAAGGTGTAAATTATTCTCCAATTTTAGAAATGCTGCTGCTATTATATCCTTCCATGTCTACCTGCCACTGTTACATTTCTGCTTAGACCAGTGACATTCCAATACCTGCTGACATTTGATTTTGTTATGGATATTTCATTTTCTCTAAATATCAAAGCACATCAGGACAAATGGGGTCCTTACAAAATGGGTTTTGTAGTAAATATATGTTATATCAGTATTTACCAAAAGTGGAATTTTACTTTAACCTCTTGCCGTCCGCCCGTAGTAGAAAAATGGACGGACGGCACTGCTGCATCTGCGGGTTGCCGATTGACCAACACCATAGACTACTTCTAGTTCAATCCAAAAGATTCCCGAATAGAGGCAGACCTCTACTAGCCCAACTCTTTGTGCAAACATTTTAGGAAATGGTCTTCATTCGACTGGTGTCTTCTGTGCTTTTATGTAGTTAGATCTACTGTGCTGTTAGCATTGGTCTTTGCCCTGTGCAGGGACCAATGCTAATAGCACAGTAGATCTGACTGCAGTCTTTTTTTTTCCCCCTCTAAGAATTCACAATTTTCTCTCTCTTTGCCAGTTTCCTTGTTACTTGGTTTTAGGTGATCCCTTCACTACTCAGAGCTGATTGCTAAACATCACCAATACCAGCTTCATTGGATAGGGAGTAGTATTTTATGCACAGCAGTACCAAAGATCCCAGGCAGAGATCAAATTGATTTGCAAATGATAACTCAGGCCGTGATATTCTAGACCCTTTGCATATGGCCCTGCTTTAACATATCTGAATACAAATAAGAGAATGCCTTGGTTGTGGCTTATATCAGCTATCAAGGAGATGCTGGAATTATTCTAAAATAAATCCTGGCTGCAAGTGAGATCTATCTATCTTCATGGCCATAATTATTGGCACCCCTGCATTTCTGTCAGATAATGCCCCACTTCGTGCAGAAAATTGTTGCAATTACAAATGTTTAGGCATTCTCATGTTTATTTCTTTTGTTTGTATTGGTATGACACAAAAAAAGTGGAGAAAAAAAAAGCCAAATCTGACACATTTCAGGCAAAACTCCAAAAATGGACTGGACAAAATCATTGGCACCTTCTCCAAATTGCAAGAAATAATTGCATTCCAAGTTTTTGTGAAAAGCATGGACAATCTCAAGGTTACAAGTCCAGAGATCTTAATGTTCCTGTGTCCATTGTGCGCAACATTGTCAAGAAGTTTACAGCCCAGGGCACTGTAGCTAATCTCCCTGGACGTGGATGAAAGGGAACAATTGAACAAAGGATTGTTGGAATGGTGGTATAAAGACCCTCCATCAACTTCCAGGCAAATTCAAGCTGACCTTCAGGCACAGGGTACAACTGTGTCAGCTCGCACTATAAGTCGCCATCTGAATGATGGGAGACCCAGGAGGACCCCACTGCTGACACAGAAACATTAAAAAGCCAGATTGCAGTTTGCCAAAACTGACCTGGGGAAGCCAAAATCCTTTTGGGAGAATGATGTGGACAGACGAAACAAAATGACAGCTTTTTGGTAAAGCCCATCGTTCTACTGTTTTCAGAAAAATAAATGAGGCCTTTGAAGAAAAAAATACAGTCAAACACTGATGTTTTGGGGTTGCTTTGCTGCTTCAGGCACTGGATGTCTGGACTTTGTGCATGGCATTATGAAATCTGAAGACAACCAAAGGCTACTGGGGTGCAATGTAGGGCCTAGTGTCAGAAAGTTGGGTCTCCGTCAGAGGTCATGGGTCTTGCAGCAGGACAATGACCCAGCGCACACGTCAAAAAGCGCCCAGAAATGGCTTCAGACAAAGCGCTGGAGAGTACTGGACTGGCCAGCAATGAGTCCAGATCTGAATCCCATAGAGCAGTGCTCCCCCAACCTTTTTATCGCCGCGGACCGGTCAACGTTTAATAATTTTACCGTGGCACACGCCTCCTGTGACTCACCTCCCCTCCCGCCTCCTGTTACTATGGACGCGTAGGGGAGGTGAGTCACAGGACCCGCCCCCTCACTGTGAAGCCCGTCGGCAGTGCGGGGCCCCGGTGTTCGAACACCGGGACCCTGCACTGCCCCATATTGCAGGACCGGACCGCACTGAGACTGTGCGGCCCGGTACCATTTGATCCGCGGAACGGGGGTTGGGGAACACTGCCATAGAGAACCCATGGAGAGATCTCATCACAGCAGTTGGGAAAAGGAACCCTTCCAATCTGAGAGACCTGGAGCAGTTGGTGAAGGAAGAGTGGGTCAAAATTCCTGTAGAGAGGTGTAAGAAACTCATTGATGGTTACAGGAAGCAATTGGCTGAGCTACCAATTATTAATTGAAGGTGTCAATTTTGTCCAGTCCATTTTTGGAGTTCTGCATTTAGTGTGTCAGATTTGGCTTTTGTTTTCTCTTTTTCTCATTTATTTTTCTTCTTGGGGAAGGAAACTTTAACCAGGTATCGTTTTTTTTTCTTAAAGTATAAGTACATAACCCTTTTATTAGACTGAATAATATTTTAAGCAAGATATGCATTAGGTAAAGTGTTGTGATAACATCAAGACAATGCTTTAACATATTTTTAGTGTTCATTCTAAAAGTATTCCATAATGCAGGCAGTCTTGCTGTATACTTAATACTGTTTGCCTTTTGTAGGTATCCGGCCACCGATCCTTAATGGTCCTATGCCAGTCCGTCCTTTGGTGGCTCTTTTGGATGGAAGGGACTGCACAGTTGAAATGCCTATATTAAAGGATGTTGCAACAGTGGCATTCTGTGATGCTCAGTCGACACAAGAAATTCATGAGAAAGTAAGGATTTTTGTGTCGTCCCCTTTATTTTTAGATTCTTATTCAAATTGTCTGTTAGAACCTGTTCGCACCTTTGCGTTCATTAACGCGTGCCAAACGCCTTGAGACACGTTCACAAAATGTTTGCCCATGAGCTGTTATTGTTCATTTCACCCAAACACGGCAGGGAAAATTTGCTTTTTTGCATGCATTACAACATGGCACGCCTGTAGCAGAATTTGCAACATGAGCTACTTTCATGCGTGTGAAATCAATGGGGGACGTGCAGCAAATTTGGGGAAAAAACACATGCCAAAGCGCACAAGCACGGTACGCTGAGGTGTGAACGGGGCCTTACTGATGTAACAATCTTCATGGCAACACTGGTTCTTGGCTTTTTTTGTTAGAACAGACAAAACACAGTAATTTATTTTTATATATATATATAT